TCATAAAACGACATCTAAGTGTCAGGAAAGATAATTATGATTAAACTTTCTCAGTACAGATTCTATTACTTGTTTGGTTTGAGTCCCATCCGAGTCAGGCACCTAATCGCCAGCACACAAAGTCAGCCGTCTAACCCACTCGGCCACCGCTGCTTCCACAAAAATGATAGTCGGACAACTGGTAGCCTGTACCACGGGCTTTGTGTACCCCTGTGATAAGCTTTAACTAGCACACCTCCCACGATCGAAAGCTATGAATACACAATGCGATTTAGGAAGTGGTCAGATGTAATTTCACGTGTTATATTTGGGATTACACCTTCTCAGTAAAGTACTGATTCTAGTACGCTTGTTACATTTGACCACTCCCCTGTGGCCTTAAACTTCATGTGTAATTTCAAAGCTCACCGGTCACGTCCTAGCCTCTATAAAGCTCATGCATGCATTTGAAGCACATGCTTTCCAGAGTGTATTCCTGCATGGTGCCTGGTTGGTTGTCACCATGTTTCTAGGTCTAGGTCAGTCAGCATCACAAAAGTACTACCCAGATAGCGTTCGGGCGTAGACCCAACGTTGGCAATGTTGGCAAAACCACCCAAAATGGTATTATACATATGAGACTTCCATTCAAGGCTTCAACCAATAGTAAGCTGACAGATCGAAAAATATCTTCAATAGTGTTCAAATCAGCGTAATACAGAACTGTCATAAATAAGATAATGCCGCTGTAAAATCAACTGTTTCTATCAGAAGTGGCTATTGTGACTTCCGAACCTCATAAACTCATACCATAGGTGTCAGTGTGTCTTGGGCATGTGTCTGCAACGAGTGTTGTGCTTTCCTGCTGTCTTTCCTCTAAAATCACGTTCACACATTGTGCTACCACTAAAATATTGTTCAACGCAAAACCCAACTCAATTTGCTTATAAATAACCCATCGACAATATATACTGAACATCATTGAAAACGCACCACTTATAAAAGTTCAGATTATTAAAAGCACGTGTAAGGAATTGATATTTTTTGAGTGGATAATAACAGATTGACGACTGACAAATACAACAACACAGAAAAGACGCTCATTTATTGAAATGTTCCACAGTCAGAAAGGGTCAAACACACGTGGGGTCAAATCGAAAAGTCAATATCGCGTGTGACCGCCATTTGCATTGACACATGCAGTTCAAATTCTCCTCATTGAGTCAATAAGCGTCCGAATGGAGTTCTTGAGGATGGCATTCCACTTCTGCAGTAGTGCAGCCTCAAGTCCCCGAAATTTCGCATTTGTTGTCGCCGCGAAAGACTTTGACCAATTTCGTCCCACAAGTGCTCCATGGGGGGATACATCTGGCGACTGTGCTGGCCAATGAATAGCCTGGATGTGTTGCTGGGCCAGATACTGCATGGAAAGTCTTGTTGTGTGTACCCGTGCGTTATCCTGTTGAAAAGTATGAACATCTTGGTGGTGATTGAAGACAGATACGATGTGATTCTGAAGAATCTGCTCACGGTAATAAAGGGCATTAACTCTCTCATGACAGACATGAAAGCAGTCCTGTGATTGTAAATTATTCCACACCTGACCATGACACTCCCACCACCCAAAGATCTGTCTGAACCACACACTCATCAGCATAACGTTCACCACGTCTACGCCAAACACGTAATCGGCCGTCGGCATTACGTAGATAAGACGTGACTCGTCAGTGACTACCACACCATGCCATTGTTGTAACCTTTACTGAAAATGCCTGCTAGCCCATTGTATACGCTCATTACGGTGTCTGTCAGTCCCAATTGGTCCAACGTAAGGACGTCGAGCATGGAGCCCTGTAGCGTGTAGACGGCGTCGCATGGAGTCAGCGCTGATGACCCCCACGTCAACCTTGAACTAGTGCAGCAGTCCTGGCAGTCGGCAGTGTTCAATCACTGATATGGACAAGGTCAATATGGCGATCCTGATGGAGCGTCGTAACACGTTGTTGCCAAGGTCATTGAAGGTCACGGGTGCTGCCTGTCTACTGATGTCGTCTATGAAGCCTAACGATGGTGGAGTGGCCAAGTCCAAGTTGTCGAGCAATATCCCTGCTGCTGGTGCCAACCTGAATCATGCCTAGTGCACGTTCTCTTTCGCGAGGGGTTAACCTCGGCATCTCTGTCCTCGTTTCACAATCGTTAGTGAAGCAATGAGAATCGGTTCTCATACTCCTGCTTTTAATGTCACAGTCAGTATGATTTCAGAATGAAATTCGCGCTTTTTTCATGGCGTGGCTGCATGTTGACGCATTTTGGAATTAAGAGTCATACTGTGGACAGGAATTTGTTTCTAAAGCATTTTTTCAACTGGACATGCCCTTCGACTTCATGTGAGTTATATTCATTGATCATTGTCATGCTGAAATCCATCTTGACGAAAATATGGACAATTTTAGACTGGTGCGTTGTCAGTGATGTTCAGTATATTATTGATGATAATCAGGAAAATCAATTGCAGTTATATGAGCACACAGAACTTCACCTTCTCAGATGCTTGAGCTCGCTTGTACAGCGATCATGTATCCAATGAGGATAGCACTGCTGTTTACATGGACGCTCTTCAACGAAACCCATGCCTTGATGCACAACACAGTCTTCTATAGTGTTGATCCATCATCAGTTTCAAGTTACCCGCTGCTGAACAGAGTAGAGGTGGTGTCTGTTCTCGATTGTGGTGCGCTTAGCAGCAGTACACCTGGTTCCAATGTATTTGGTTACGAAAAGGATACATCGCAATGCTCTCTCATGCGAAGACACATCGGCAATCGTGGAGTTGAGAGATTTCAAGGTCGCGTTACCTCTCTAATTCTTATGATGGGTAAGTCATTTATACTCGACTTTTGCAAGAAATTTGTTAGCCTTGCTTCGCCCGTTGTAATCATCAACAACACAAAAAACAGCAACTCAACATTCAGATACACATCTGAACAATGTATTAATTACCATTAGTCACTATTTTAGGAAATGTAATGACATTTGCTTCATGTGAAGTTTGTTGTTGGGATATATGCATTCTGTGAAGGTGTGTTTGAACGATGTGGTATTTACTGAGAGCTGAAAGTGTGTGGAGCCCTGAATTAGCTCAACATGTAATCAAATATGTTGCATGTATGGTTACAAGTGGCGATCAACACATAAATTACTTCTATTAGCAAAATCTTATAATTTGGCCTTGTAAGATCCTACTGTCTGATTCTAACAAATTGTTTGTTTCCCTTTGTTCACTTCTCCTGCTGAAATGTTGCATGTATACATATATCCTTGTGTTGACAATCTCACTTTTTCAATGCTTTAGAGTTTTCGTTTGTATGTTGTTTAACGCCGCACATCTCGCTACACCCGAACCGGGAAATAACAAAGGGAAAGAAATAACATTTGACAGATATATACTGGTTGTGAATTCTATTTCTGTGACATACTAGTGGTTTTATACTGTCCTTCAATGACATGTATTTATTATCTGAATTTATAGCTAAAATGAAGAGAATTATCATTAAAACGCCCGCATGTTAACAGAAATGAGCGGGCCAATAATGCCCCCAAATGGCTTGACGACAGGCCATCATCATGCCAGTTGTTATGTGATGCCATAAAGAGTTCAGCTTTTGATGTTCAATCACCTACGGCTCGTTTGAACTTGGGTTCAATAGTGACGACATTTCTGACTTACATTCGTCACATGTACTTGTGCCATTATGGACATTCTTGCCGGTGCCAACCTTAACAATTGTACCATATATTACAACATGCAGCAATGAAAACATCGACTGGAACTCTAACGTTGTTGAGCATTGAAATAATGGCGGCTGGTAGTATGGGCAAAGGTCAAGGTCGAATGTCGTCACTCTAACTAGTGACGTCATATATTTTGTTCTATGACGTTTCCATATTTGTAAAAAAGTGTGTCAGTCACCTCCGTTGTTTGTTGTTAGCAGTAAAGGCTTCAAAACCGATACCGTTGTTTTTTCAGGTCATTATCATTTGCAGAAGCCCTCAGTCTTTTAAGCTGCACTCCTTCGTCAGGCAGTTAATGATACCTCGGGCTTCTGCAAATGAAAATGCCTTGAAAAATAGCGTTACCCTTATAGCATTCATCATGCATTTAGAACTTGTTTAGTCATATCCACTCACTCACCCACCCACCCACTCACTCTTGTTTAGATAGTTATTCTACAAACCGACCATTGAACAACAACAACAACAACACCAGATTGAAAAGGCAACTCTTAAAACCATTTTTCACAAACCGTTTCTGATTCAGAAGGTGCAAAGAATGAAACGGATTTGGTTGATTCATAAGAACAGCCTAAATTGAAGAGACAAAAACACTCTTAAAACCCGAAGATTCACTATGAAGTAGTGATGACACAAACACATGCAAGAGCACGTCAAATGTTCACCAGAAATAAAACACGGGAACATGGTAAACATTTAAAAGCAGACAGGCAGTAAAATCATTTCATTAGCATTCACATCATGCACAGACATCATCTCATGCAAGTACGCATTTTTTTAATATTTGATATTCCGGGATGATGTCCTGAATATCACCCTTGTGACAAGCAATGTGTCATTATTTTCATACTTTCCGAAACAAATTTGAAAGTCAAGGATATAGTCATTAAAATATCTGCTAAAAGCACGGCCGTTTATACAATAGACCGCGATCCAGTCCCGGCCGATAAGCCCCAAAACATTGTTTTTGACGTTAGGGGGGACAACCACTATGGACAATCACAATGGCGTCACCACCGGCGAAACGTACGTGATTGAGAACATTGTTGATGAATTATGCTTGTGGTACTTTGGTATCTGTCGATTGTGAATGATATTAAAAGAGGCAAGTTATAGGTATGTGATTTTTAATATAATTTAGTTGGCAGATTGCAATTGGCAAGTGAAAATGAGTTACATGCCCCATGAAAAATCGTCTCTGCCAGCTGCTGAGAATAGAAAGCGTATTTTCCTTTCGAATCAATTAATCTATCTGGCAACTCACCTCCGTCAAAGATAACAGCAGGGGAAGGGTAACTGAATTTTGTTGCTTGGATTTTTTTCCCAAAAAATTCCTATCATAATTTTATGAAAACCGTGAACACATCTATAAATAGATTGTCAACGTTGTGCGTGGCGCCTTTACTTAGTTATCCATTGGCGGATAGTTAACTTAGTTAAATAATCTGAAAACATGGGTTTCTATGGTTTAATGAATTAAATGAATGGTAAATAAAAAGCAGAAAATATTCCCCGTTTACTACTTCGTGCACCATATTTGTCTGTATATAATTAATCCAAACAAATCAGTCACAGCGCATAACTTATTTGATCTTATTTGGAAATCTGGAAAATGTGATTGGACTTGTAAACAGTATGTTTTCATGGACGTATCTGGACATACCCAGAAGCAAATATTCAACAGCTGATCTGCAGCAATTCTCAGTAAAGTTTCCCTCTTCAAAATCTGTACACCGTCCTAAAATGACACTGAATATAAGGAAATCCATTTTTTAAACCATCCTGTCCATTTTATTTTTCTATACAATGTATGTAGTTTGTTGTGGAATCCTAACTGACATACAAACTTTCACAATACTTGACTTCATGAACTACCAGCGTTTATGTACAGGTATGTCACAGCACCAGAATACAAAGAAGATCCAAGATTCAGTCTGCACCTGTACACTAGCAGAACTATCTTCCAGAAATAGGAAACCTGTGATACAAAATCTTTGAACAGAGGATCCACTAGCTGTTATCCGAACAATTAACTAGCATTGAAATAGAATGTTACACAAAATACAAAAATATTGTTCTTCTTCAGAGATTTTTAACTGCTAACTACTAGTGCAAATAAGGTGCAAATAACATATTTTGTCAATACAAATACATATTGACATTATTCCATCTTAAGCAATGATAATCTTTGTTTTATTAGATCTGAGACTATATCCCTAGAGGACATTGCTAAATTTTGATCTATTTCATTTTTTGTGATACTTACTAGTGTCATAAAAGCTATAGTAAGGTTGATTCAATATTTGGTAAAGTCATAGCAAAAGTTTAGGAAAACACACATGAAAAGCGTTCACCTCCTACAAACCAGTGTGCAATTTAAAATGAAGCTCATTTTCCAAATAACCATCAACAAACCTTGAAGAATTTGTCCAAAACCAACATCTTAATAAACACTAGCTTTGGCTCGGTCTTCAAATATTAGTAACCTCCTCAAAAACTGATGATTTATTAGAAACATTACATCAAATCAGGGTTAAATATATGTTTCAATATTTATTTCATTACATGAAAAGTCAACTGAGATTTTTGTAAGTTATTCTGTTCCAGGACTGGATAATGCCTGACAAGGATGTGACCAAAACGTAGGGTTGCTTTTTTCAAATTCTCTGGATGTTGAAATAACTTTGATGAGTTATGATACTAGCAATACATTAGTAAATGCATTATTTAAAAAAGACATCTAAAAGCAGGAGCCAACAAACTAAGTTAATACCAAGTGATTGTCCTGACATGATTTGTATAGTGTTTGTTTGCCTAGTTCTGCCTTAAAATCATATGAATCTGATATGCCAATCAATTAAATAATTATTTATAATTGATTAGATTATTATTTATTTTATTACCCTTCCACATTTACTAACAAGAGCAAGATTCTTAAAAAATAACTTGCTATCATTTCCAGTGAATTAATCAAAATGTCACTTGCAATATTGCTCCTAAAATGTACCAATATATGTGAATAAAATTTATGTTGTAACAAAGCTTCAAATGTCCTCATCGACACGATATGGCTGAGATATTGCCGATGTGACGTTAAATATTAACTCACTCACTCACTGAAATGTCCTCATAATTAAGATATACACTTTATTTCACTCCGCCCAATACTACAGAAAGTCCATATTCTTCTCACATAGTTTTTGTATTCGATCCACATGGAGGAACGTAATTCAATTCAAAGTCCCATCCATCTCTTCATAAAAATTCTGAAATATTTAGGGAAGCATAGTTTTATAGGCACTCATATGACTTACTGTTGATATTTGAATATTGCATGATAGTCAACTGCTGACACTGACAATATTTTCGTTGGAATAAAAAATATTACTCCTCGAATATTTTGCACTATTAATAAGAAACTGTGCAGTAGGCCTTCAGATTGTGCTTTTGATACTTAAAACATCCTAAAATGTGTGACAAATTTAAGAATATCTAAGGCCGAAGGGAACAGTATCCGCCACACTGTTCTTTAATATAAAAAGTTTTGCTATTTCGGTCGACCCTTACCGAAAGCAGATCTCTGTTAGATTTGTTTACATTGTGTCACGGCTTTCTCGCCTGTCTCATTTCAGTTTTATGGCGTACCGACTCTATGCCCAGTAGTGACTAAAACGTTAAGTAAAAACAATTTTGTAGTTACAAGAATTGCCTGAGTTTATAACATTTGCAAAGTCTTAAACTGCTATTTGTTGTCATCAATTGGTAATGATTTTGCACAAGTGCAAAAGTGTGGAAATTCGTGCAAATTCTCATTTGCGGGCATGACGTAGGTTTCGTGAACGATGGTGCAGACAATTATTTGATCGCGAGACCTATCTCGCTCCTTGATCCGCCTCAATTTTTTTTGTCTTGACCGTAATGGTTTTGTTAAAAGTACACATCAAATCACAGCAATATTTAATAGATATAGCGTGTGTAAATGGCATAATTCGAAGCACATCGCTTCGGAGGCATCGTTTGACTCCGGAAATAAGTCTGACAAATCCACACAGCGCGCCTGGCCTGCTGATTGGCCAAACTGGACGCATGAGCCAGTTTTGATTGACAGACTGGATCGGTCTACTCCAACAATGTTAGGAGTGAGGGAGTGAGTTATCGTCACATCGGCAATATTTCGGCCATATAGTGACGAGAACATTTAATTGTTATACATAGTAATTTATGGTAAATTATAAAAACCTGTCATCGAAGGACAGTAAAACCGACTAGAATATCACAATATCAAGAAATAAAACTAGCATATATCTCTAAAATTGGATTTCAAATTAGGACAATACAATATAAAATAGGCTGAGGATCACCAACAACTGCAGGTAGATCACCACTCTAGGGTCCATGGGGACTTAAGTACATTGGCTACCTGCATGGACCCTAGTTGGATTTATACCATCCCTTCAGCCATTGGCGATTGTGCTGAAAGTTAGCCAGAATAAAACAACAAATATTCTACGATTAAAAAAGTGTGTAGATCTGAAAAGACTTTGAAAGTTTTGGGACATTACGTACCCTCTCAGGAGGACAATAAATTTACAGTACTTTATCCCCCCGTGAGGGTACAGCCACTAACAATCTAAGTTACTAATCTAAACTACCAATTATTAAAATACATCTATCTACAGACCATATTAATCAGAATTCATCAATGAAATCAATTTCTTTTAAGAAATCAATGATTAAAGGAGAACTAACAGTGGTAAAAAGATCCTTAAGTGTTTTTACATTGTAATATTTATCCCTTATGATGGAGAATTCAAAACAGTCAAGCAGAACAATGTTATGAACACGTGATAATGAATGACTATCAAACAGTAATGATACCGGGTTTTAGCAGAGGGAGACGGAGAAAAGGGACCCCCTTAAAAATCGAGAAAACGGCCACCGCGCAGGAGAGAACGGCCTCCGAACCTAGAGAAAACGGCCATCACAGTTGCACCAAGATCATCGAAGGTACAGTCACCAGGTGGGTAACTAAGTAGAACGGATACGTCTATTTGACCATTACTGAATTACGTACTACTGGAATACAGTAACTGTGCATTATTTGATGTTATGCCATTTTCCAATGCAAAAAGATAATAACATGATTTGTGGTGTTTTCCTTAATGACTGTTTAAATGTTGACAGTATAATGTCAAAATCTGTATGATTTGACACTAGGCATCGTGACACGTCTCTTTGAAGAGATGCGGTGTTAAAAGTTAGTTCACAAATTCAGTATCACGTGTGTCCACCATTGGCGTTGATGCAGGCTTGACAACCACGACGCTTACAAGACACTAAGCGAATGAAATAGCTTTGGGAATGTTGTTCCATGTCTGGGCCAAAGCTTGTCCCGATTCAGCTGACCCCATTGGCTGATTCTGGGAGACGTAAACGTCTCTCCATTTCATCCCAAGCGTGTTCGATAGGGGGTTGCAAATGAGGAAAATCCATATAATAATATCCAATATAAGGAAATCCATTATTTAAAACCATCCTGTCCATTTTAATTTTCTATACAATGTATGTAGTTTGTTGTGGAATCCTAACTTACATACAAACTTTCACAATACTTGACTTCATGAACTACCAGCGTTTATGTACAGGTATGTCACAGCACCAGAACACAAAGAAGATCCAAGATTCAGTCTGCACCTGCACACTAGCAGAACCAACTTCCAGAAATAGGAAACCTGTGATACAAAATCTTTGAACAGAGGATCCACTAGCTGTTATCCGAACAATTAACTAGCATTGAAATAGAATGTTACACAAAATACAAAAATATTGTTCTTCTTCAGAGATATTTAACTGCTAACTACTAGTGCAAATAAGGTGCAAATAATATATCCTAAGTTCAAAGCTTTTTGTCAATACAAATACATATTGACAATATTGCATCTTAAGCAATGATAATCTTTGTTTTATTAGATCTGAGACTATATCCCCTAGAGGACATTGCTAAATTTTGATCTATTTCATTTTCTGTGATACTTACTAGTGTCATAAAAACTATAGTAAGGTTGATTCAATATTTGGTAAAGTCATAGCAAAAGTTTAGGAAAACACACATGAAAAGCGTTCAACTCCTACAAACCAGTGTGCAATTTAAAATGAAGCCCATTTTCCAAATAACCATCAACAAACCTTGAAGAATTTGTCCAAAACCAACATCTTAATAAACACTAGCTTTGGCTCGGTCTTCAAATATTAGTAACCTCCTCAAAAACTGATGATTTATTAGAAACATTACATCAAATCAGGGTTAAATATATGTTTCAATATTTATTTCATTACATGAAAAGTCAACTGAGATTTTTGTAAGTTATTCTGTTCCAGGACTGGATAATGCCTGACAAGGATGTGACCAAAACGTAGGGTTGCTTTTTCAAATTCTCTGGATGTTGAAATAACTTTGATGAGTTATGATACTAGCAATACATTAGTAAATGCATTATTTAAAAAAGACATCTAAAAGCAGGAGCCAACAAACTAAGTTAATACCAAGTGATTGTCCTGACATGATTTGTATAGTGTTTGTTTGCCTAGTTCTGCCTTAAAATCATATGAATCTGATATGCCAATCAATTAAATAATTATTTATAATTGATTAGATTATTATTTATTTTATTACCCTTCCACATTTACTAACAAGAGCAAGATTCTTAAAAAATAACTTGCTATCATTTCCAGTGAATTAATCAAAATGTCACTTGCAATATTGCTCCTAAAATGTACCAATATATGTGAATAAAATTTATGTTGTAACAAAGCTTCAAATGTCCTCATCGACACGATATGGCTGAGATATGGCCGATGTGACGTTAAATATTAACTCACTCACTCACTGAAATGTCCTCATAATTAAGATATACACTTTATTTCACTCCGCCCAATACTCCAGAAGTCACTATTCTTCTCACATAGTTTTTGTATTCGATCAGGACTGGGCCTATCGCGCTCCTTGATCCGCCTCAATTTTTTTCGTCTTGACCGTAATGGTTTGTTAAAAGTACACATCAAATCACAGCAATATGTAATAGATGTGTAGCGTGTGTAAATGGCATAATTCGAAGCACATCGCTTCGGAGGCATCGTTTGACTCCGGAAATAAGTCTGACAAATCCACACAGCACGCCTGGCCTGCTGATTGGCCAAACTGGACGCATGAGCCAGTTTTGATCGACAGACTGGATCGGTCTACTCCAACAATGTTAGGAGTGAGTGAGTTATAATTTATCGTCACATCGGCAATATTTCGGCCATATAGTGACGAGAACATTTAATTGTTATACATAGTAATTTATGGTAAATTATAAAAACCTGTCATCGAAGGACAGTAAAACCGACTAGAATATCACAATATCAAGAAATAAAACTAGCATATATCTCTAAAATAGGATTTCAGATTAGGACAATACAAATATAAAATAGGCTGAGGATCACCAACAACTGCAGGTAGATCACCACTCTAGGAACCATGGGGACTTAAGTACTTTGGCTACCTGCATGGACCCTAGTTGGATTTATACCATCCCTTCAGCCATTGGCGATTGTGCTGATAGTTAGCCAGAATAAAACAACAAATATTCTACGATTAAAAAAGTGTGTAGATCTGAAAAGACTTTGAAAGTTTTGGGACATACGTACCCTCTAAGAAGGACAATAAATTTACAGTACTTTAACCCCCCGTGAGGGTACAGCCACTAACAATCTAAGTTACTAATCTAAACTACCAATTATTAAAATACATCTATCTACAGACCATATTAATCAGAATTCATCAATGAAATCAATTTCTTTTAAGAAATCATTGATTAAAGGAGATCTAACAGTGGTAAAAAGATCCTTAAGTGTTTTTACATTGCAATATTTATCCCTTATGATGGAGAATTCAAAACAGTCAAGCAGAACAATGTTATGAACACGTGATAATGAATGACTATCAAACAGTAATGATACCGGGTTTTAGCAGAGGGAGACGGAGAAAAGGGACCCCCTTAAAAATCGAGAAAACGGCCACCGCGCAGGAGAGAACGGCCTCCGAACCTAGAGAAAACGGCCATCACAGTTGCACCAAGATCATCGAAGGTACAGTCACCAGGTGGGTAACTAAGTAGAACGGATACGTCTATTTGACCATTACTGAATTACGTACTACTGGAATACAGTAACTGTGCATTATTTGATGTTATGCCATTTTTCAATGCAAAAAGATAATAACATGATTTGTGGTGTTTTCCTTAATGACTGTTTGAATGTTGACAGTATAATGTCAAAATCTGTATGATTTGACACTAGGCATCGTGACACGTCTCTTTGAAGAGATGCGGTGTTAAAAGTCAGTTGACAAATTCAGTATCACGTGCGTCCACCATTGGCGTTGATGCAGGCTTGACAACCACGACACATACACAACACTAAGCGAATGAAATAACTTGGGGAATGTTGTTCCATGTCTGGGCCAAAGCTTGTCCCAATTCAGCTGACCCCATTGGCTGATTCTGGGAGACGTAAACGTCTCTCCATTTCATCCCAAGCGTGTTCGATAGGGGGCTGCACATGAGGCCCATTGATCCCATCCCTGTATTGCAGACCTGTCAGATTGCCACCTACAAATTGTGTCAGACCATAAGTTGTGTCACCCACCTACCATAACACTGTCACCACCAAAATGTCGACGTTGTTGAACGCACGCGTCAGCATACCGTTCACCTCACCGTATGTACACGCATGCCCTGCCATCTGAGCTGTCCAGATGAAATTTCCACTCGTCAGTAAACACCATCCCAATCTTGTCTCCTGTACCCTAGATGCTGTCTGCAGGAAAGACGTGCCTGTCGGTGACGTTGGAGCAAAATCGGATGTGTTGCAGGCAGTCGGGGCCTGATGTTGTGCTCCATCAGTCGGTTCCGTACATTGCTGGAACTTATTGGACGTAAGCCAGGAATGGTCCGAGCAGTTAAACTGGCAGTCTGGAATGGATTCCTTAGATTGGTCAGCCGAATGTGGTTGTCAACCGAATTTGGTGACGTCACGCATGGCAAATCTTTCGTGTTCCCATTATTTGAAAACGTCTCCATAGAGATGAGATCGTATTTCGAGGGACACCAAAATGCCTGGCAAATACATTTTTCACCATTCCAGTCTCCAGCATACCCAAGGCGCGGTGATGCTGATTTTCTGTAAGTCGTGGCACGACCTTTGCGCAGTTTTCCACTGCATTCAGAGGCTAGAGAATAATTACCCGTTCTTCAATTTTCAATATCAGGGGGGCGAACTTCAGGTCACAAAAAGCATGCAAAAAGTGAGCAAATTCATTGTGTACAAAATGCACGTGCCACGTGCGATATGTGAGATCAAATGAGATTATTTTTATACCTTTGCAAAAAACTTATATTTTATGCAATTTTATGTTATGCACAGTTACTTCTTCCGTTGTATATTACATTATCTATGTACCTGAAGTCTTAATAATATGGTGATGTTAATAACGTGATCACACATCTAACTTGTATCGGCCCATGCAGGTAGCAAAAGTAATGTAAGGCCCCATGGTCCCTAGCATGGTGATCCACCTTCAGTTGCTAGCGATCTATAGCCCGGTTTTATATTGTGTTCTTTTGAAATGATTTAGCATTTTACACTGAACTTAAACTAGTTTTAATTAATTTGTGATAATCTAGTCGTTATATACTGTCCTTAGCTGACAGGTTTTTAAAAATATATATCTGAAATATGGCCGATGTGACGTAATATTTTAACTCACTCACTCTAATTTGAATCTAATGAGGTTTGTAACCCAAATTTTATTAGCCCTCACACCAGGATATGGCCATTTATATAATCACTTGTCTGTAAATATCATGTGATGTCTGAATGCTTGTAATTTTCATATCTGGAAGAAATAAAGCCATCTATCTACCCCCCAAATGGTTTTCAGCCCCAGGATGTGACCCTCCAAGTGACAAGACCAATATGGCACTAGCAGCTCCTTCATCGAATGTTGGAGACGTGGCCACCTACACCTGCAACAGCGGCTACGGCTTCTGTGGTAACGTTAACTCCGTAACCTGCCTCAGTTCAGGAAGCTGGAGTCCCCTCTCGACGTCAGCTGAGTGTCTTAAGGCTTACTGGGATTTGAGAGTAAGTATGTGTCTGTCTGTCTGCCTATGTCCATCCGTGCGTGCATGAAATCTGATGCTTACAACCATCAATACTTCAGGGATTTGTTCCGTCTATCAGAGGAATTACGTATAACTGACCTATTTCTAGAGACGTTGGAACTGGAGTGGGTTCATGTCATTGGAATGCTGTTTCGTGATCAATACATCACCTGCATATATACATATGGACATTAATAAAGCAACGCTCGTAATATCCCAGATTGACCAACGTTGATGAACTTGTGTAAAAAATTAAATTTGTAGTGAAAAGAAAGGGTTGAGGAGAAACATATCCAAGATTACCATGACACATATCTGGTTTATTTTAAGATTGTACAGATTTGGAAAATGACGTCATGTAATACAAAAACATTACGAATGTCAGTTATCTTGCATAGACTTAACTGTGAGTACAATGCACATATCGTGTTCATGGAACTGAAGAATAATATCTTGCAATTCCATCAGTACCTTGTGAAATCTTGTGCACACGAACAACTGGTTCAAGACACCTCATGCCTTGGATCAACCGCCGGGTTTGATTCTGAAGAATCCTGTTCCATTCTTCATGCAAAGCATCAGGCAATCCATTGAGAGTCTGGACACGTGGGTTTCCCTGCCGAACACGACGTCGCCTACCAAATGTCCCACAGATGCTCAGTTGGATCGATATGCTCAATGGTTGGCCATGGGATGGCCTCAACAGCATTCTGCTGCAAGATGTTGGTGACAGCACGTGCTTTTTGAGGCCTGGCATTGTCATCCATAAAGCTGAGCCTTGTGAGCAGAGGATGGTTATCAAAATGTGGGACAACTACCCTCTCATTGATCCCCTGTCGATATTGAGGTCATTATAATTACCAGGAATGGTAATGAGGTCCATCTTGCAACCCAAAGGAAATGCATCTCATGCCATTTTACTCTGCCCAAATGGTAACCATCCCCTGGATATTGCGGAGAATCATAGCTGTGTGTCTTTGTCTCCAAACACGAGCACGACCACCCACAATAGGCAATAAGAAACGACTCTCAATGGGAAAGTCTCCGCTTTTTTACGCTTGATGGGTCTCCTGTCCTTGTATCCTGCTGCCTGCAGCCGATTTCTTACGGTCCTGCTTTTAATGATCCAAACTCGATTATTTAAAGACTGCCACCCAAACAGCGGGAATATTGCTAGGTGCGGCCTTAAACAAACAAAAAACAAACAAACAGACAAACTTTGTAGTGCTAGCCCACTGGGATACCATGCTGTAGTTCCACATGGATATCCCTCTCAATATTTCGCTCATATGACCACGTGCATGTGTGTGTATGTGTATGTGCGGCTGCTTGTACTAGCCAAGACTGAAGCTGGTTTTTTATAGTGCTAGCCCACTGAGATACCATGCCGCAGTGAAGCATGAATACCCCACTCAGACACATTATACTGACTCCGAGCCGACCAGTCCTTGTTGTACCCATTAATGCCCAGCGCCAGGCAGGGACCAACAAGTACCATATTTTAACGTCTTTTGGTATGACGCGGTCGGGGATCGAACCCGCGACCTTCCGCGCTCCGGGCGGACGCTCTAACCACTACACCACGGAGGCGGTGTTATGTTACAGTGAATGTGTCAAATCAGGAAATGTGTAAATATGCTCTTCTTCATATTTCAAGCTTGAATGACAACGGCTATTACACTTAAGTCCTGCTCTGTAACATCTACATTTGTTGGTTTTGCACTGCTTAGCACTTTGCGCACAATTGCACGTAGTGTATCCTTGACCGCCACAGATTGATTCTTGTTGCACAGCTTGACGCAGTCCAATTTCTTTGTCAGTTTGTACATCAACCATGAACAAAAGTTTGGTAATCCCAGATGGGATAACACATGTCATAATACACTTCCTGCTACCTACAACAACAAGTCACCTGCAGCCCCTAGACGCTGGGATTATCCAGACATTGAAGGCTCATTACAGGAGACATCAGCTCAATCACCTTGTTGATTGCACAGGTCCTCTAACTATCCTCCCTGGCTATAATGCCGACCTAGATATAATGCCATATTTTCTCCTGGACAAACGGTGGCATTATAACCAGGGTACAACATGTATCATGTCCGCATTTGGCATGTAGATAGGACACAAGCCAAGACTGAGAAGGTCACGAATCTTACTTTTGTATAGACTTATAGGAACTGTTCGGCATGCTAAATTTTCTTGTCAACAACCAGGGGAGGTAAATCCAAATTCCATATCACCCACTGCCGCCGTTAGCCCGTTGTGTTTGTTATTTTACAACCACTTCAATTGTGTGCTTCCACAATGACTACATACAGATTTACAAAGTTTCTACTTACACATGGCGTACAGGTTCACAGGTAACATTGCTGAGTGCGGTGTAAAACTAAACTCACTCACTCACCCATGGAGTTCCAAGAAAGATGTGTCAAGCAAAGCATTGATCTGAGCGCATTACATGTACTATCAAGCTAGTTGACGCAAATACCAACTAAACATAAAGGCGCTGCATATAAATATAGTTAATGATTTTTCAGATTTGCTGAATGTTTTTCAGAATACACGTAACAGACCCTTCCTTCGCATCATATTACCTTGTAAGGCCTACAGAGATTCCCACATCATAACTACAGGAGTGCCAGGGCCCTATAACAGGTGAGCAAGAACTATTATGAGTATAGGGGAACGGGTGTGTTGTTATGTGGGATTACAATTTGTTGTTAGATATTGTTGTACTCGTATTACATTGACGTGCCATTAAACCCCACGTTTCCTCAACTTCACCCCACTAAATACCACATGTAGACCTATAGAAGTAGCACCTTTTAAGAAAGCCCTCGAGGAAGAGACCACCTTCATGCTAAATGTGCTCGTGCTCGTCTGAGAAGGATACTCCACGTGATCAATTTCGTCTATGATTTTCAGTTACCGTGGCAGACGGGGAGTTGGTAGACTTTTCGACTTTGGCACAATTGATGTGACATTTAAGTACAAAAAGAACTCATATCTTCTTGTGCGAACCAGAAAAATGGACGTCATACGTGGACCCAGCTTCAACACACACGACAAAGTTCCAATCAAGCTAAACCTTTCCTCTGAGATGGTCTTGAGGTTAGAGGAAACCAAAGTTGTGGTATGTATGTCGAAATATTGGACGTGTGTAATTCATTTTATATCTTAGCTCGATAGGTAGCTCTTTCTGCAGGCAATACCTACCTACTGCAGTTAGTGGTTAATACTGTTTTTCAATCTATAATGAACTACGTTAGAAACGCATCATTAATAACACGTCATACGAATGTGTGGAGACTGTGCAATTAATGTATTGCTGGCACTTGTATCAAACTTGTAACAAACAACAAGATCAAGATTGTATAGGGGTCAGTATCTGATCTTGGGGTATCTGTTGCCGTATTGAAGGATGTTGACGGGTGGAGGTAGGGGGGTGGAGGGGCCATTGCAAGTTTTCTACCAATGTCATCCCAGATGTGTTCAATGGGCGCCATTGGGGCCATTGCAAGTTTTCTACCAATGTCATCCCAGATGTGTTCAATGGGCGCCATTGGGGCCATTGCAAGTTTTCTACCAATGTCATCCCAGATGTGTTCAATGGGCGCCGCTAAATCTGGTGAAAAGGTAGGGAAGTCTAGCACAGCGAGGTAAGTCAATAGCCTGCCTCTCTGTGTGCGCTCGGACATTGTCTTGCTGTAACGTGTACATGTGTAGACGTGGATGGGCGGTCATATGGGGAATGGTCATATGGGCGGTCATATGAGTCCGCAACCCTTCCTGTGTAGGTAACATCCGTGACACGTTCTCTGTAAACATGCAGAGGTGTTTCAAATGTGGACTGATGCCCCCACAAACCATCACACTACCGCCACCCCACATATCGACCTGTCTTCACCCCCACAAACTATCACACTACCGCCACCCCACATATCGACCTGTCTCACCCCCACAAACTATCACACTACCGCCACCCCACATATCGACCTGTCTCACCCCCACAAACTATCACACTACCGCCACACCACATATCGACCTGTCTTCACCCCCACAAACTATCACACTACCGCCACCCCACATATCGACCTGTCTCACCCCCACAAACTATCACACTACCGCCACCCCACATATCGACCTGTCTCACCCCCACAAACTATCACACTACCGCCACACCACATATCGGCCTGTCTTCACCCCCACAAACTATCACACTACCGCCACACCACATATCGGCCTGTCTCACCCCCACAAACTATCACACTACCGCCACACCACATATCGGCCTGTCTCACCCCCACAAACTATCACACTACCGCCACACCACATATCGGCCTGTCTCACCCCACAAACTATCACACTACCGCCACACCACATATCGGCCTGTCTCACCCCCACAAACTATCACACTACCGCCACACCACATATCGACCTGTCTTCACCCCCACAAACTATCACACTACCGCCACACCACATATCGGCCTGTCTCACCCCCACAAACTATCACACTACCGCCACCCCACATATCGGCCTGTCTCACCCCCACAAACTATCACACTACCGCCACCACCACATATCGGCCTGTCTCACCCCCACAAACTATCACACTACCGCCACCCCACATATCGGCCTGTCTCACCCCACAAACTATCACACTACCGCCACCCCACATATCGGCCTGTCTCACCCCACAAACTATCACACTACCGCCACCCCACATATCGGCCTGTCTCACCCCCCACAAACTATCACACTACCGCCACACCACATATCGGCCTGTCTCACCCCCACAAACTATCACACTACCGCCACCACATATCGGCCTGTCTCACCCCCACAAACTATCACACTACCGCCACACCACATATCGGCCTGTCTCACCCCCACAAACTATCACACTACCGCCACACCACATATCGACCTGTCTCACCCACCCCACAAACTATCACACTACCGCCACCCCACATATCGGACCTGTCTCACCCCACAAACTATCACACTACCGCCACACCACATATCGGCCTGTCTCACCCCCACAAACTATCACACTACCGCCACACCACATATCGGCCTGTCTCACCCCACAAACTATCACACTACCGCCACACCACATATCGACCTGTCTCACCCCACAAACTATCACACTACCGCCACACCACATATCGGCCTGTCTCACCCCCACAAACTATCACACTACCGCCACACCACATATCGACCTGTCTCACCCCCACAAACTATCACACTACCGCCACACCACATATCGACCTGTCTCACCCCCACAAACTATCACACTACCGCCACACCACATATCGGCCTGTCTCACCCCCACAAACTATCACACTACCGCCACACCACATATCGACCTGTCTCACCCCACAAACTATCACTACCGCCACACATATCGACCTGTCTCACCCCCACAAACTATCACACTACCGCCACCCCACATATCGACCTGTCTCACCCCCACAAACTATCACACTACCGCCACCCCACATATCGACCTGTCTCACCCCCACAAACTATCACACTACCGCCACCCCACATATCGACCTGTCTCACACAACGGTTCGCATAACGTTCACCACGGTTCTCCACACACGAACTCCGCAGTCAACGTGACTGATATGGAAACGGGACTCATCTGTGAAGAGGACACTTTGCCACTGTCTCCGCGTCTTTCGATGTCGCTGAGGCCACTTCAATCGAAACTGTCGGTGTCTATGTGTCGGATTAGAATGTAGCGACGCCGAGCGATGAGTCCATGTTACCAGAGACGACCTGGAACAATTGCAGGACTGATGCATCTCATCTCAATCGAATGCCTGAAGCTGTACAGGTGGCAGGCAGAAATCGGTTATGAAGCTGAACAGAACAATATGGCGATCCTGTCTGGGGGTTGTCCAGGACGATCACTGGTGCTCCGGTTTGCTGTAGATATTGGGGTAGTCTAAAAATAGTGGAATATGGATCTTTGACATTCCAACATTCCAGCATTCCAGACAACCCACTCCTCTCTCTCTCGCTCCTAAGCTGATAGGCGTGGCGTCGCAGTAGCATCACTTGACGTTGGATCAGTTGGTTGAATGGTGAATTATAATTCATAAAGGGTCTCTATACCCTTGCGATCGGGGTAAACATCACGTTTAAGGTTCCTTTTTTCGGTCTTGAACAGCTTTGATGAAAATATTAGATGAAAATATTAATAACAGTACCTGTTCTTGCATTGTATATAGGTGATGGCAGGCTCACGGCACTTGACCACACAGAAATTCAAGACGCCAGCTATAGGCTTACACCGAATTGTAATATCTTTTAATCTTTCCGTTGATACCATGAGAATAAGATATCCCTTGGCCACGAAATAACTATATGTCTGACATACGAAGGGCGTTCAATAAGTTTTGCAACTTGGGCAAAGTGAGTGAATTTGATCCTAGCTACACTGATGTACATTCAAGCATAACTTGCTCATGCACGACAGATACCGTTGATTCAGTTACTACTGAGGTTCAGGCCTCAAACGTGCCCGAAAAGACTAAAAGTGCAGTAAAAAAGTTGGATCCAGTTAAACAAGATGCATTTGTACATCATTTTGATGAGACATTTGTAGGCGATATTGGTAAGAGAATTGATAAACTGGATGTGAGCAATGCTGAGGAATGTATTGATATTGCTACCAATCTAATTTATGACAAACTAATTTCTAGAACAGCGGCTACTATGAGCAGTATATACAGTAATACATTTCAATCAAAATCTAAACCATGGTTTAATCAGGAATGAAAATTGGCACGTAAAAAGTATCATAAAAGTACAAAAACAATATGACAAACATCATTGTGACCGGAATAGTCCCAGAATACGTTTACAAACGTATAGTAAAATTCTAAAAAAATCTTTATTTAATGCCTGAATCTTGGCTAGTTGGTTATATGAATCCTATTTATATAAACAAAGGGGACCCTGCTGAACCATGTAACTACGGGGGCATTTCTTTATTAAGTTGTTTAGGAAAGCTTATTACTTCAATTTTAAGTGCACAATTTCAAAAGTATTCAGACAAAATTGATTAAATAAGTAAGGCACAGACAGACAGACAGATGATTTTATTTGTATGGATGGCCATGAGGCCAACAGTACATCAACATTCACAATAGTAAAGAGTCCGGAGCGCCTGGACATTGATTCACATATGATCTGTATGTGATGGTACTTTTGTACAATACACAGCTAAACGTACTAGTATATTAGTTGATTTTGAATTCAGAAGAGTTACAAACTTGTGATAGTTGGGGTTGGTGTAGTAAGAACATGGTAGATATTTTTTCCGTAGATCGTTGTACAATGGACATTCTAGTAATACATGATATTCATTTTCTAATTTATTAAGGCAATGTGGACACATGGCAATTGCGATATCTGCACTCTTCGATCTTCTGTATAATTGTATGTTAAAACCAGCAATACCACATCGAAATTAGGCACAAGCCAGCTTTAGAAGTAAATATTCTACGATGGATCAAATTTATGTTCTGAAATCATTAAATGACATTAACCAAAATTTAAAAGGGAAACTCTTTTGTGTTTTCGTTGATTTTAGTAAAGCTTTTAATTCTGTTTGGAGAAGTGATCTTTGGTATAAAATAATTCAGAGTAATATCGATGGAAACTGTTTCTGTATCATAAAGAATATGTATGAGCATATAAAATCTAGAGCTGTACATGTTGGTGTAGTAACAAATGCCTTCACGTGTAAGATTGGAGTTAAGCGGGGTGGAAATCTATCTCCATTCGTCTTTGCTTTGTATGTAAATGATCTTGATGTAACTGGCCTCGAACATGTAAATAAGCTTATTGAGGGCCAGCTTGGTATCTTTATGAACATGTTGATGTTACTTTACGCTGACGATGCTGTCATATCAGCTGAAACAAGTGATGATTTGCAAAACTCTTTGAATGTGTTTGATCACTATTGTAAAGAATGGAAACTTAGTGTGAATTTAGAAAAACAAAACAAAGTTTGTTATATTTCCCAAAGGATATTGTAAATTGAAATACAACTTGACGTTAAATGGTACATCTATTTACATTTCAAATGAATATCTGTATCTTGGTGTACTTTTCACAGGTAATGGTCGGTTCGTTAGAGCAATCACAAGCCTTACTATACAAGCTAATAAGGCAATGTTTGTTATCTTTAAAACTTGATATTCAAATTAATAATACACTGCTAATTGAAATTATTTGATAATCTTATTAAACCTATCCTTCTCTAAGGCGCCGAAGTTTTGGGGTTTGAACATCTCACCATTATCGAACGTGTCCATATTAAATTTTGTAAATATATTTGAACGTGAAGCAATCAACTCCAGATTTTATGATTTACCGGGAATTAGGTGGATACACCTTCAGTTTATCCGTACAAGTCAGAATTATATCAAACTGGGCTAAAATGTTATGTTGTAACGGCAAATTAAATACCATTTTTATAATGTTATGCACAACTTAGTTTCTTTCAATGCTGATCTTAATTTTTCATTGTTGTTAAGTGTCAAGTGAGTGAGTGAGTTAAGAGTTAAAGTCACATCGGCAATATTTCAGCCATATCGTGACTAAATCAAGATATAAATATAGTAACAATTAAAGGTAAATTATAAAATTCTGTCACCGAAGGAGAGTAAGACAACAAGTGTCAAGTCTATCCTACAGGATACTTGATTGTATTATATTTGGCTCACCCAATCTGCACCTAGCATTGTTTGGTTAAAAAAATGTACAATTCGTTCTCAATGATTAGTTTAAGCAGTTATGGTGGCGCTTTGCTGTTGACTCATTGAAGGGTTATTTCTATATAAAGTATAAGCATTCACTAATTTGTTTGTTTTATTTGTTACAATTACCTTATTAATATAGACGCTGGTTAACTAAATTTAGAACTTCAAACCACAGGTTGGACGTTGGTTCAGCATTGAAAGATGTAAGAGAATCTGTCAATTATGTACATATTCTGTCCGTGATGATCTTCACTTTATATTGTACTACCCAGCTCTAAATGCCCTTAGACATCAATTTCTTCCCCAATATTTCTGTAAACATCCTAATATTGAAAATGTGTTTATCTAATGAAATGTGATTATTTACCACTAAGACACCCTTGAGGAGCAGCCTCCTCGTGGTGGGTGCTGGGTAACGCTAACAGCTCTCCGCTGTGAGCTGATATCCTTCACCATGCGGCCTTAGACCACAATTATTTTTCTTCTTTGCTATCTACAGTGACATGCCAGTGCACCATAATTAATATCGGTCGTAGGCTGTTCTCCTGTTGCATGCTGACCAACCTGCCACTTGTCACTTAACTGGCAAAATATGGGCCTGGATCAGCCATGTCAATTTTGCTGTATCCACTGTAAACAATGATCACCGGAAGTTACGATCCTAAAACACAGCATTGAACTTGGGGTCAAATCAAGGAAGGCTGGTGTCAATACCATGTGTAGATTGTGGACCAAAACATTTTTGCAATAAAGTAACTGTGACTTTGTAGCACCTGAAATGAAGTTATACAAAGCAATCGAGACGGGTAAACCTGGGCCAAACCCAGCAGCACCCAACGTCGGACTTGCCTTGGGTCTACAAGACACACCTATAGGAAATACGAGAGCGAGGTTACTGATGGCCAACATGGACATTCCACCCCCATGCAGGAGCAGTATGCAGAGGACCTCCAACAAGGTGGCTAAGGCTGTAACTGAACTTAACACTAAGGATATGGCAGAAAAGGTGGAGTTAGTGAAGGAAGTTAATCGAAAGAAGGGTACTGAGCCATGTGGGATGAACATTGCTATGGATGGCCGATACAACTCGACAACAATAGCAAGCAGGAAGAAGCCAGGGCGAAATGCATCACATGCAATCGGCATCACCTGCGAAACTGTTAGTGACAAGAAGTTCATCATCGGTGCGTCATTCCAGAATAAGCTCTGCTGGACTGGTGCCTGGCTGAAAGGAAAAGGCATGGATGTGAAATGTCCAGGGGGGCTCCCAGACTGTACTGCGAACATGTCGGCCTTCACTCCATTCTCTGAGTTCAATATGGGAGAGGACATTGGTAATCAGCTCGCACTACAGGGTGTACTCATAAAGTATGCTACAACCGATGGGGATTCAAAGTCTGCAGATGGAGTAGACAAAGCTCTGAAAGTGTTAGACCCAAGTGTTGGAAGGTGCAAAGGCTAGCTGACCCCACCCACTTGGCTCAAGGACAGTTCCGACAATGTTACAGAGCTGATGTTAACCCAGATATGTTCCCCGGCACTACCCGTACACATAAAATGGAAGCAAAGAAGGTGCTGAGCCAGGATGTCAAAGCACGGTGCAGCATGATACTAAAAGAACTCATGAAAGATCATGCAGGTGACATGAAAACACTTCGTAGTATCTTACCAAGAGTGCTCGAAGCAACCCTCAAGTGCTACAGCGGCGACTGCTCCAGGTGTGCCCGGTACTCAGTTGTGTGTGGTGGCGGTGTAACAAACAGCTGGTGGCAGCGATCCATGTTCCTCGGCTGCAATAGTATCACTCATTATAATATGGATGACAATGATAAACACTTGCTTAATGAAATTCTCAAAATGAAGTTAAGTGTAGAAGTGGTGGAACAAATGAAATCGACACAGACACACAGAAATGTGAAGCTGCCAATCGATCACTGAGTATTTCTTTGCCAAAGAATGTAAACTTTTCAAGGAACATGATTGGGAGGGCTTCTTCCACAATTCACAGGCTCAACAATGGCCCTGGGACATCAGCAATCGACAAGTTCGACCATTCTGGGCTGAAACTTTCAAGCTGAGCTGTGCGGTCACTTGAACAAATGGACAAGGAGGCTACCTATCACAAAGACTATCAGAAAAGCCCCCGTGTTGTGAAAAGGAAACTAATACAGCATGGAAGCAAGATCTGTGAACCTCTGAAGTCTAAACAGACTGACAAGCAGAGTGGGGACTACAGAAAGTTAGACCCTGTACCGTGTTTCAGCAAAAACCATGAACATTCTTATTCAAAATATTGAAAATGAGCAGTGATGCTGCAGAACTGTATGTGCTTATTACTTGCTAAAGACAGATACTGTGTAACTTTAAGTTTAAATACATCATAATGCCTCTAAAGCTATGTGTTGTGAATAAGTGCTATGTCAATAATCAGGAAATATGAATACAATTTTACTATATTATATGATAAAGTAATTTTCCGAATAAAATTGATATATTATACTTATCCTGACTCATGCTATTTTGCTTGTCTTCTTCTCCTTGCGAACGTTAGTGGAACACCTGAATCCCCTTTTTGAAGCTCCCTTAAAATAAACAGACGTAAAATCACTACTCACCAAGAGTAATGCCCCTTCCCCAGTCCGGCGGGAAATGGCGCCACCTGTCTCCCAGCTCCTCACTCCCTCCGTATATCAAGCCCGACACTTAGATTTGCTGGGAAATCCAAAGTGCCTTGAGGGGAGAATGGGAGGGCTGACCTCATGAGTCAGGATAAGTATAAAATATCAATTATATTCAGAAAATTACATATTTTTCCTTATCCTGACTCATGCTATTTTGCTTGTAGAATCCGACGGATTTGGTGGTGGGTCAGGCCACTTCTGGATTCCAAGCTTGGTGATTTACGTCCTACATACCCACCTATGGGAACTTCATGGTAGCACAGCTAATTTACTGCTAGGTTCTGCTGCTGCTGACCTTATCTTCCAGCTTTCTCTGATAGGGGGACCACAACTTGTCAGCTTTAAGTGGCTTCTTCTGCTAACATTATGTGTGGATTTGTGCAACTCCACCCCTTGGTGCTTGCATCAAGTGGAGAAGCGACCCTTCTTATGTATGAGTACGTCCTTACAAGTACAGGGTCTATCACTCATGCTGGTCTGTCTTAGACGTGCTCATGGACTCTAAAGCACTAACTCCCCAGAGTGTTGGCTTTTGCAAGTCACGTGATAAAAGGGTGAGACTCTGTCTCAGCGCCTTTGTGGAACCATCAGTTGTTGTGCTACAACAAGAGGCCCAAACTGGTGAATGTCGGAGACGTCCTCGGTGGCGATGTCTCTCAGGTAGTGGTTGGCAAACACCGTGTCTGATTTCCAGAAGCAGTCCTCCATTATCATGGTGATGAAGCAGTTTCCATGTAGAGCGAGTGTTGATGAAAGAGCTCTAACTTCATGTGGATTGGAGGTTCGTGGAGGATCAAGTCCTGTTGCTTTATAGGCCCTTAGGATGACAGCTCTCATCCATATTGATATCATTGTGCGAGAGATCTCCGTAGGTGTCTCTGCCGATATAGGGATGGAAAAGCGCTTGAATTTTCGTCTCCTGGTCCTAGACCTTTGTAGGTAGACATTTAATGCTCTTACTTGGCACAAGGATAGGTCCTGTGTATCCTGAGGCCCAAGGACTGATGATAATGCTGGTATGTGGAACTGTCTGTCAGGTTGACCTGGCAGTTGATTCTTTGCTATCAAGTCCCATCTTAGTCCCATATGTACGATGTATGATGTGCGCATCAAATCGTGTCCGTTCAAAGTCCAGAGCATGTATTTCCACCATCCGTGCTGCTGATGCCAAGGCAATCAGAAATAGAGTTTTCTGTGTCAAGAACTCATAAGATGTCCTATCTAATGGTTCATAAGCGTCACTGGTGAGATGCTGTAGAACTATATTGAGGTCCCAAGGCAGAGCTTTAAATCTCTGTTGTTGGTCTTCCAACTTGAAGGACCGTAGTAAGGCCAGTATCTCTGATACCTTAGTCAGTTTTACACCCGTCCTCATGGTGATAACTTTGTTTGTCTTAGATGACAAAGATAGTCCGCCACTTGAGGATGTGTTGCTTTCA